AGACAAGCAGGTGTATGGTCCCAGAGCAGTAGCCGAGTAATTACATCTTGACATACAACCACCAGGCAGAGAGAGAGAGCTAACTGAGAATACTAAGAGCTAACTGAGAAACCTCAAAGCCCACTCACAGAAACACACATCCTCCAACAAAGCCACACCTCCTAATCCTTCCCAAACAGTTCCACCAACTGGGGACCAAGTATTCAAATAAATGAATCAATGGCAGGCTATTTTCATCCAAACCACCATACATGCGAACTACAAAAATTAAACCAAGATATATATAACTTAAACAGATTTACAACAAACAGTAGTTTTAAAAAAAAAATCAACTAAAAACATCCAGGCCCAAATGGTGTCATTTGCTGAACTCTATTGGACCTTTCCTAAAACTCTGAATACAAATACTAGCTGAGATGGTTAAACAAGAATGGTCCCCATAAGCTCATATATTAGAATGCTTAATCACCAGGGAGTGGAACTCTTTGAAAGGATTAAGAGGTGTGGCCTTGTTAGAGGAAGTGTGTCACTGGGTATGGGCTCTGAGGTTTCAACAGGTATTGCCAGGCCTGGGTTCTCTCTCTCTCTCTCTCTCTCTCTCTCTCTCTCTCTCTGCCTGTGGTTCGGGATATAAGGGTCTCAGATACTACTCCAACCACGTTCTATGTGATGCCTCGCTCCCCATCATGATAATAGACCAAACCTCTGAAAGTATAAGCAAACTCCCAGCAAAACTCTTCCCTTTATAAGAGTTGCCTTGGTCATGGTGTCTCTTCACAGCCATAAAACAATGACTAAGACACCAGTGTAGCATTGTGTATTAGAAGTCAGAAGACAACATTCAAAAGTAGAGGGAGACACCAGCAGGCAGCTGCCTGAGAAGCAAGGTATGAGGTGACAAGCCTCGAACATCATCGTAAAATATAAACTGATAGAAATGGGTTAATTTAAGTTGTAAGAACTAGTTAACAGTAAGTCTGAGCTAATAGGCCAAACAGTATGTAATTAATATTAAGCCTCAGAGTGATTATTTTAAAAGTGGTGAGGGACAAGGCAGGACAAGAAATCTCCAGATATAAATGGCACCCACTGTCTAGCACGGACCCACGAGACCTAAAAAAGCTGTAAAGGGGTTCTAAATGCACAGAAACAGAGCTGCACTGGGCTTCCTAGTCACTCATGCCAGTCACAATACAGAGATGCATCTCTGGACGGCTGCCCACGAAATGGAGCCAGCTGCCAACCACCATGAACTAAGCAGCATGGTGGACTCCCACAGTCTCTCACTGGCTGCAGTACAAAGAAGCTTCTCCCAGCCACTGCCTACAGGCTTGAGAACACAGCCAAAGGTCTAAGAGCACAACTGCATACTACTAAGTACTGCTTCCCAGAATTGGGAAGGTTAAGTGTGACTCGCCTGGGTACCTCTGCCATGTTGAAAGTTGAGCGGAATAGAACCAAGAGCCAAAGCAGCCACTTTGGTCTTAGCCATGACCACTTACCAATTTAAAGCAGTGATCAGAAAATAATTACAGATACACAATAAAGGCAGATTCAGACAAAAAGCCCTCTAAAAGGGTCACAATGTAATAAATATGCATAGGCTTGGGAGAGAGAAGAAAAGGATAGAAAGAGTCATAGATTAAAAGAATAAAGATAATAAACTGAGGTTCTTAAGAAGGAAATAAAGTAATAAAAAATTATAAACCATGTTAAAATGAAAAATATATAAGCAGTCTAGATTATGCATACTATTGTGTTTTCTTTGAATTTTTTGACTGTTAATGAGCTAACTGCAGAGAGACATTTGCTTGTAAGGGCTGCTAAGCTAAACCAACATAAAGGTATTTTCAAAACTTCAAAATTTGGGTCTAAGGATATGTTGCTTTGGAATAGAGGTTCTGTTTAAAAGATGAGAAGCTATGGATTCCTCGAAGATTAATATGCTTTGATCAAGTAAGAGCCCTGTCTCCATGGGAACAATGACCCAGGTGACCCAACATCCAGAACAGCTTCAAGGCAACTGGCTGAGATTATACAGCCTCATAGACTACTACAGCCAAGATCTAACTATAATTCTAAATTTTCTCAGTATCCCAATAAGATTACCAGTGCCCATAGTCATTAAGTAGTATAGAAAACTACATCCAAAGGGCTAGAGGGATGGCTCAGAGGTTAAGAGCACTTGCTGCTCTACCAGAGGTCCTGAGTTCAATTCCCAGCACCCACATGGTGGCTCACAACCATCTATAGTGAGATTTGGTGCCCTTTCCTGGTATGCACGTGTTCATGCAAGTAGAACGCTGCATACATAATAAATAAAACTTTAAAAAAAAAAAAGAAATGAGAACTACGTCCAAATTCCCAAAATATTGTTCATAAATGTTTGTTTTCATTTAAAGGCTGTTAGTTACAAATGGTTAATGATCATAGTCAATCACTTTCTAAAGAAAAAAGGGGGATATGATATAGAAATGATAAAAAAAAAGGTAAATTATTGAATCTACTTTAATCCAAAAAAAACAACTATTAGTCTAACAATACTTTATATTGGTATGGATTTTGGTTTACTGATATAAATTTAAGGTCAATTTTTGTTACAATATATGTATTTTTCTACTCTTGTTAAGGTATTATGTTTATGCAGTTCATTTAAAAATGTAATATATAGTTAAGAAATACAAACAGTCATCTATAATAGTCAAATTTATAGTCATGTTAATTAGATTTTCTATATATGCAGAGATATATTTCAGATGGATAGGTAATCTTCAAACGCATCAAAGACCTACAGAACATGGCATTAGAAAATGTTTTAAGAACTTAGACTTCTCTCAACAATGACACATGTCTGCCTCTGACAGCATTAATTACTTTAAGAGGATGATGGGCATAAAGAAAACTCCTTACAGAATTTACTTTCAATGTGGCAAGGCTAGCCATTTGGGCAAGGAACAGCTCTTGTCTGAATTGCTTGACTGTATGTTGTATAAACTGGACATGTAGGACCCATAGGAAAATGACTACTAAACTTCATAAAAATAAGGCAGGATAGTCCTTTACGGTTCCTGCTTCACAAAAGAAATCATCAGACATTCTGCAGGACACAAAAGAAAGCCACTGATAAACTGTCAATACAGGTTGAGCAAATTTCAAATTTCTTGCTTCACTAAAAAATGAAGATACTATTATTACCCTATAGGCTAAAGATGGATGACCCAACATTACAGAACTTTGGGTGATCAGGCAGTCAGATATTTCTATCATTTCTAGAGTTTTAAGTTGCTTACAATACACTTCCTGTTTATTTAGGTAATATTATATCCTTCTGGGGTCTTTGACAGAGTTCAAGACTAGATAGTTATAGTTTTCCTTAGATATGATGATAAATTAGATATAAAACTTAAAATTCACAAAGGATAGATGATAGAGTATTTTCTTTAATTTTGCCAAATATAAATAGACCAAATAATTATAACTATAATTCTTGAGTGATAGCTGTTTTGCTATATATATATATATATATATATATATATATATATATATATATAATTTTACAATATTAGAGTTAAAACCTTCCTTTTGAATTAGACAGAAAAGAGAAGATGCTATGGGATGTCCTTCTGTACACTGTGTATATATGTTGCTTTTATTGGTTGATGAATAAATATATTCTATGGCAGAATAGAATAGAGCTAGAAGTGAAAGCCAAACTGAATATAGGGAGAAAGAACACAGAGTAGAAAACTTAGAATTTCCAACCATGGTGGCATACACCTTTAATCCCAGAGCTCAAGGTAGAGGCAGGCAGATCTCTGTGAGTTCAAGGCCAGGCTGGTCACCACAGTGAGTTCCAGACAGGCAGAGCTACATAGTGAGACCCAGTCTCAAAACAAAAGGATACCAAAAAAAGAAAAAAGGAAAAGGGAACAGAACTTACATTAAAAGGAAAACTAGATGAAAATGACTAAATAAAAAAGATTGGAGGATAATTCTCAGAAGTAAATTGACATTGGAGACAATGAGTCTATGATAATAGCCTAAAGAAGCTGATGGTATTACTTATCCAATGCACAAAAGCCTCAAAGTCAATGATGTCAATAGTGTTACTCATTCCGAGTGTAAGGGCTGAGGAACTGCCTAAAGGTAAATAACCTGGTTTTCTGATAGCCAAGGCAGGAAAATGGTATTCCAGTGTGCCTTTTTGCTCAATCCAGGTCTCAACCAATTAGATGGAGTCACAATTTGGTCTACTTATTCAAATCTCTTCATACTCTTACAGGTATATATAGAAATACTGGTTACCAACAATCTAGTGTGTAGGTTAATTTTTTTGCCAACTTATCCCAAGTTACAGTGATCTGAAAGGAGAAATGATAGGGGAGTTCAGCCAATCACGTTCTGTTTGGGGGGGGTGTCGCCCTTAGGCTAAAGCTTGCCTATAAACCTGCAAGCTCTCTCTCGCCTGGCTCCTGCGTCCCTATGGATCGTTTGGATTCTGGTGTAAACTGGTGTAAGTCTTACTTCTGTTTATTAAAGCTGTATATTTTGTATTAAGATAGTCTGAGGACTTTTCATTACCAATCGCCCTGCGGCTTCAGAGAAAAATCTCAACTGAGAAAATACCTCCATAAGTTCTGCTTGTACACCAACTGTGGGGCATTTTCTTGATTAATGACTGATGTGGGAAGGGAACACCTAGCCCATTATGGATGACGCTACCACTGTGCAGGTGGTTCTGGGATATGTAAGAAAACAAATGGAACAAGCCCGTAAGCAGCATTTCCTCTGTTGCTTCTGCTTCAGTTCCTGCATTGAGTTCCTGCCCCAACTTCCCTTAGTTATGAAGTAGGACCTGAGAGTTGTAAGATGGCCAAGGTGTTATCACAGTAATACTGGGCATCCATTAATCCATCTAAACTGCTAGAAAGGCATGGCAAGATAATATTCATAAACTAGATAAGGAGGACATGTAGTGTCCCCAATTTCTAGATACATACCTGTTGACCGTGTAAGAGCTGTTGATTGAGTGTCAAGAGATACCCTCAACATTCTGAGATTGGGGGAATGATATTTTGACTCACTGGTTGGTTCTTGAGGAACAAATGAAGATAATGGAGATGGAAAAGGCTGGCTAATGTCCAAATTAGAATGGTCTACCTATGAAATTAGAAAAGAAACGTTAAAAACAAACAAAACGATTCTATTAATTTGATACTTAACTTGGCTAAAAAACAAACTTCATTAAATGAACACTTAAGAGGTTCAATAATTTTATTTTAATCTTTTTAACTTTAATTTCATTTTACATATTTGAGTGTTTTGCCTGCATGTATATATGTGCACCTCATACAGAGTTCAAAGGAAGTTATTGGACCCCCTGGAACTAGAGTTACAGTTATGAGTCACCAAGTGAATACTGGAAATAGAACTCGGGTCTTCTTCAAGAACAAGCTGAGCTGGAGAGATGTTGCAGCAGTTAAGAGCACTGGCTGCTCTTTCAGAGGATCTGAGTTCAATTCCTAGCATCCATATGACATCTCACAACTGTCTGACTCCAGTCTCTGAGGATGCAATACCCTCTTCTGGCTTCCAAGGGCACTATATACATGTGAAGGGAAAACATCCATACACAAAATAAAGTACATCTTTAATAGAACAAGTACTCTATAACCTATCTCCCCAAACCAACACACTGGGGAGTTTTACCAGTTACTTACCATCATATTCTTTCCAGGTGTGGTGGCATAGGCCTGAAATCTCAGAAGGAAGACTGAGGCAAAAGGATCACAAGTTTGATGCCATCGGAAGCTAACAGTGAGATCTGGGCCAGTCTAGTGACAAGGTGAGATTCATATTCTCAAGTCATTTGAATTCATATACATATCACTAACTAGTGGCGTTAAAGCATAAACATGTGCCTGGCAGTGGTGGTGCACAACTTTAATCCCAGCACTCAAGGAGACAGAAGCAGGGGGATCTCTGTGAGTTCAAGGCCAGCCTGGTCTACAAAGCAAGTTCCAGGACAGTTAGAGATAGAGAAACAAACAAACAAAACACACACATACACACAAAGGCATAAACATGCATAATTTCCATGGAATTCATAGGATACTTAGCACTATTTGGTTTATAAAAAATTAGTCTAGTCATGCCATCTCAGAATAGAATACAAAAATAAACAAAAGCATGATTTCATTTATTATCTATTTATTTACTTATCTGGAGATGGGATCTATCTATCTATCTATCTTTCCTTACATCCTTCCATCTATCCATCCATCCATCCACCCACCCATCCATCTTGGGCAAGAGCTCATGTAGTTTGACCACAAACGCTTCCCTACATAGCTGAGGCTGGCTTTTAACTTTTGATCCTCCTGTCTCCACCTGTCATGTGCAGGAATTACTGCATATATTACTTATCATATTTTTGTTTGTTGGGTTTTCAGTTCGCAGGGAGCCACTTGTATTCATGGAATGAACATATATACATAAACAAACAAAAATAAATTAAAAAAATGATAATTAAGGGGTTGAAGACCTTCCTTAGTGAAAGAACACTTTTTTAGCATGCCCCAAGGCCTTGAGTTCATTACTCAACAGCATACACGCAGATTTAAAAAATGGGAAATAAATCTTAACATTTTGTTTTGATTCCGCTCATTTTCATACAATTCCTCAGTTCTCTGGACCTATTAAATACTTCTCATTGTTTTCATTCTACATTATTTCCTCTTCACTTGGCTATAGCCAACAGGCTACAAAGTTATATGTATTTTCTTTGGTATTACCTGCTCTAATAGCTCTTTATGTTTGAAGATGTGATAATAGTACTTTTTTATTGAAGTTAAGGCTATAATAATTTTTCTCCCTTTATTAAATCTCTTGTATTTACCTGTCTCTTTCCCGACTTCCTACTCTGCCTTTCTCCCACAAGCTATACTAAAATCAATCTTTAGGAGCAGGATTCTTGACTTAAAAATTTTGAGCTTTTCAGAACTTATATTTTGGGTTATGTAATATTTAGTTGACCTAGGGAGCCGCTCTGTATTTTAGTCTGTTTTCTGGTATCGCTAGCAGCTCCCTATCCTACTCCTCCTGTTCTCATCAGTTATGACTGAAATATGTTTTCTGACACTGTTGTATTTCTCTTTGCAAGGTACAGGACATTCCCAAAAGAGAGCTGCTAGGCTCAGAAAGGTGTTTAGGGAAATAGAGGGAGAGTGTTGGTATTAAAGGTGTTCACCACCACTGCCAGCTAGAAAACTACACTTCTTGAGAAAAGAGGGTAACAGGTCAAAGACAGTTCATCATAAAGTAGTTACTTCCCTACTGATATCCTTGTACATTGAGTCACAACCCTAGAAGTATTCATTGTAAAGTGTGGATGAAAATAATCCACACTAACCCAGTCTGAGGACAGACTAAGTGGACTACTGTGATGCTCTTGGCACTGCACCTGAGCAGAGTTGTCAGCCATTATATCTATCCCCACTCTCATCAAAAATGCCTACTTTAAAATACTAAAGAAAACAAAATAGACCCCACGAAACTTTCTTACATAGTCAACAACCTATACATAAAAGGAAAACCCTTCGTGCTATCTTTGCTCACTCATCTTCTCAAACCAACTTCTAAACCTGAACGAGATACATGGACATATCACAAGTGAGACCCAGGTTTGCCTGACAGCATCACACAAACAAGGGTGGGACTCAAGGAATATTGAAGACAAGATGGTTCAAAGAGCCAAACAAATGAAGTCTTATAAAGCATTTTAAAAAGTCTCTAGAGTCACCATTTTTCAGCACAGGTACCATAACAGGGGCATAAACAGGTGTGGGGAAGATGTGTACAAGCTTATGCAGTTCATAGAAGAAGGAGGCAGAGTTAGAGCCCTTCAGAAAGACAGACTAATTTGGATTCTAAGCACTGCAGTATTCTTCCCAGAGAAACAATGATGCTTGAGATTTTCTTAAATGCCTGAAGTCAAAGTTTTCAAGAACTTCTAAACAGAAATACTTGAGTATCTCAAGGCTAGCTAACACACTAAAGACCAGAGGGACAGCACAATTAAATGTCCTCATGAATGTGTCCAGTTTTCACATGTTCCAAAGATTCTTGTTGACCCAATACAAAGAAGATACCTCAAGACAGAAAGCCTGGAGGACCAAGTATGGTGGTAGACACCTTCAATCCTAGCACTTGGGAAGCAGAGGAAGGAGCTCTCCTGAGATCAAGGCTAACCTGATCTACACAACACACTCCAGGGCAGCCAGGACCACATATAGATACCTTGTCTCAAAATTTAAAAAAATAAAAATTAAAAAGTCTAGAACTCCAAAAGATGTCCTTTTCTAAGACACCACAGAATTCATGAAATGAAGTCAGGCAGTGGTGACACATGCCTTTAATTCCAGCACTTGAGAGGCAGACAGATCTCTGTGAGTCCAAGGCCAAACTGGTCTACAGAGTAGTTCCAGGAGGAAAGCCAAGGCTATATATACAAAAACATCCTGTCTGCAAAAACCAAAAAACGAACAAACCAAAAAAATAAATAAATAACTTGTTTAGTGTCATAGTCTATGAAACAAATATTTTGTCAACATTTAGTAGATCATATACCTGGGTATGAAATGAAGACCACATTGTGAGTCAGAATTGGTATCAAAAAACAAATGAGCCTTTTTACTTTCATTATCATTTTCTTTTCAACTAAAATAATCCTTTACCTATCCATAAAATAGGTCAAGTAGAGTAACTTACAGACTTGTCAAAATGGCTCTCCTCTGATGATAGTTGTGAAGTAGGTAGCCAAAACAAGGAGCTGTCACAAAGATCATCAAGCATTTTCTCTAAATCTGCGAGCTCCAAGTACTCACCAGTTAAGTCTTGTAGGTCCCATGTCTGGGAAATTGTAAAAAGTGAAAAACAAACACCATTTCCTGAATCAGTACTGAAAAAGGCCACATTTCTACAACTATCACTTCATTGTATCTTACCTCTCTTTGCAGTTCAGAAACTCTTTCACTGTGTACATCAGTAGTTTTATATAGGCTGCAGTACTCAGCATCACCATGCAGAGTAACAATGGTAGACTCAGCCTTCTCCTGTAGGCCATCTATTAAAAAAAAGAAAAGTCATGTTGCATAAATGTATATACAATGAAACTGGACTCGGCCCCCACAGGCCAAGGAATTTCACCTTAGCCTTCTTCAGTTTCCTTAGCTCACTAGAATCAGTGATGCATCACCAGTCAAAGTTAAAGCAAGGAGGGACTTGCATCTCATGCTGTCAAATTTACTGAAAAGCTGCTCCATACAGCAGCAGATACAGCCTTACCCAAATTATAATCTGAGGAATCTGCAACTTCTTCAAAGGTCTGCTGCTTTAAATCTTGTAAAACCCAAGATTCAGAAGTTGATACTTTCATTGCAAAAATAATGTTTGAAGATTCTACCTTCTCTGTAAGGTCAAGATTGTTTATATCATACTGAAATGAAGGTGACTGTGTTTCCCCAAGACCAACAACCCAGTTGTAAGCTTTTTCACTTAAAGAAAATGACTCAAGCTCTGGAATGACAGAAAGAAGCTTACTGAACATGTTCTGAGGAGCATTAGGGGGTGACTTTAAATCTGGATCCCGAGATAGGGAGTTACCACCATCATCTTCTTTATGCAACAATGGTTTTAAAGCTGCTGATTCCAACACCCCAGGAGTAGACTGGTATTTTGGATCCTTAAGCTTATCCATGAAAGAGTTTTCATCATTATAATTTAATGGGGAAAGATCTGGTTTGGGGGGTTCTCTCTCAAGGCTGTCATCTGCTAATGGCTTATTGATGTTGGCCTGGATTTCACTTATAGGACTCTCTTGCTTGGAAGGCTCAATTGAGGCAATGACTGCCTCAAAGGCTACATTTTCAGTAGCATCAACATTTTTCTCACCAAAAGTAGAAGCTGCCTTTTGGTTTCTTTCCTCTTGAAAATACAGTTGTTCTGATGTCTCATCCAAGTTGGCTTTAACTGTTCGAAGGGGGCCACCAGAAGCCTCTAGTTTGGAGATTTCAAGTCCTCTAGAGAGTATATGTGCTTCTGAAACTTGTTCATGACTATCAAGGACAGCAGCCAAACCAAGATACTTTATCTCTGGAGATTTGGCATGCACCTGAGGTGATGGCAAAATATTTCTAATCTCCTTTTGCTTAAAAAATGGAGGTAATTTTTTCTTCATATCTTCATTTCCTTCAAAGCCCTCCAAAGAATCCATCTTTGGATTCATTTTATCCTCAGATGGAGACCTTAAACAAACATTCTCAAGATGGTTAACAGAGGTCAAGGGAGCCCCTTTTCCTCTTTCCAGCATACATCGCGGGAAAGAATATGACATTTTATTAGGAGGAGTAATTTCGCATGGAAAGGAAGCCTGGTCCGTACTGGGTAGACATGCTTCTGACTGCTGTGGGGTTTCCTGTTTCCAATACTGAGCATGTGAACAAGCCGAACCAAAGTCATTGTTTCTTCTAGCAGTTATGCTTTCATCACTAACATCAGAAAAAGTTGAAGTGGAAACCTGGTCTTTATCAGTCAATTTGCCTTCTGGTTGCTGAGTATCCTTTTCTGTCTGCCATGACATATATGAAAGCAGGGCATCATAGTGATCAGAATCATTGGGGCCTTTCAGTTCATCAGGAGCATTAGGTGGTGCATTCTCTCCATTATTCTCTTGTTCAGATGGGAAAAGAGAGCGCTGAGACCCAAAAGTTGTGCTACCTGTAAGTGGATGCTGAGATATACTAAGGCAACTGTTAACTAAGTCTGAAGATGTTTCTGAGGTGGCCTGGAATAAAGCTTCACTAACTTCTGACGGCCGAGAAAGCCATTCAGTATCTTCTGACTTATCAGGAATCTCTCTGAAAATACAAAGTTATAAAGAAATAATTAGCTTCTTAACACTTTAATTTTCAAACACTAACAAAAAATACAAACCCAGTATCAGTAACAGCTGAGCAGAATGAAAGTGCAGAGAAATTAGTATCCTAGAAATGGCTGCTTTCTTTGCATAATTAAGGTAGGATGGAAAGGAAGGACAGTGGCAGCATACAGAGAGATTCAGAATAAAGAAACACAGGGTACTGAGTATGTCTAAAGTATGCCTAAAGGGACATACATACGTTATCTCTAAATGAACTATAGTCACCTAGTACATCTCTGCATGCAAAACACTGCACCAATTTAATACCAAGAAGGTGATAAGAATATCTAGCCCCTACTCCAAATCCCACTTTAGCCTGAAACCATTAATACTAATAACAACCTACAGTATGAGTAGAAAGTTTAGAAGGCAAAAAAAATGAATCACCCTACCTCAAAGGTGCAAATTCTAGTTCACTTTGTTGGAGCAAAGAATCAGGCTCAAATTCCTGGTCTTGTGTCAAACATGTCAGCAAAGGCAAATCAGGAGTAGCAAAATTATCCTGGATGACTGTAAAGTTTCAAACGTAAAAAAGCTAAGCAATCAAGAAGTGCAGTGTTTGCTGTATTCATACAATACTTAAGCGTCTAACCATGCTACCAACTGGAAGATGCTACAATCATTACAATAATATAACAACAGCAGCAATCATCTACAGAACCTAAAATAGCCCAATCATTTAGTACACAGTATTTCATTTAATCCAAGACAACTTCGAAAATTAAGTATCATTTACTATACATACAGGTGAGGAAACATGATTGCAAAACTTAATATTATTAAATAATCTCTTCATATGTAAGGTTAAGTGCCTGCATTCGAACTTCTCTGCAAATTACTATAATATATATATATACATTATATATATGTATATATATATATATAATAGTGTTTGTGAACAACTAAAGCGTGTCTCTTTTATTGCATTTCTACTCTGTGTGAGTGCTCAGGTGGGTGGGTAGATATAAACATGCAAAGGTGCTTAAGCGGCGATCAGGAGACAACTGCAGAAATCATTTCCCTCCTTCCATTATGTGGGTCCCAGGTCAAACTCAGATCATTCAGTTAGACAGCAGATACCTCTGCCTACTTAGTCATCTTACTGGCCCCTCAATCTTAAGTGACATAAAAACTTATACCATTATATCAAAGTATAATCTAAGGGCTCTCGGTGATGAGGATCAAAATTATAGTCAATACTGAAACAAGGCCTCCCTTCTAAAACATTTTTGTTTTACAAAATAGTTCTCTATAAAACTATGTATGATGTAAATATGTAAGTAACAGTGTGGCCAGTTTTAAATAAACACTTCTTAAATTTTCTGTTTAAGCTCTACTATAAGAAGATATCACAAACACAAATGTTCTTTGGAGTCCTAGTTCTGAAATATATAAAATAGGAATTACCTCAAGAGTTTGAAAACTTGCTTTAAAGAAAAAAAACACCATGGTTTCCTTCATCTTAACTAATTAAGTGTAGTTGTTGGTTCAGGGAATGGTATTTCTGGTTTTTTGAGACAGGTTTCTCTATATAAGCACTTGGCTATCCTGGAATTCTCCATATAGATTAGGGTGGTCTCAAACTCAGAGATCCTCCTGCCTCTGCCTCTCCCTCCGAAGTGCTTAAGTAATTCTTACGTCACTAAATACATAAACTAGTATAAAATCCTTACTTCCTATAGCACTTATACAATTATAAAACAAAAATTAAAGATTTAATTAACAAATTAACAAATAAAACTTTATTTACTAAAATTAGCTTCAGTGATGTGTTGCTAAAACTAAACCTCTTTTTCAACATGAATTTAATGACTACTACAGCACACTTTCTTGATTTCAACTATGTTTTGGGTTTTTTTACTATTTATTTTTTGGTTTTTTGAGACAGGGTTTCTCTGTAGCTTTGGAGCCTGTCGTGGAACTAGCTTTTGTAGGCCAGGCTCACCTTGAACTCATAGAGATCCACCTGCCTCTGTCTCCTGAGTGCTGGGATTAAAGGCTAATTTCAACTATATACACAGTGAGGACTCTACCCCGGCACCAACCTTCGCCCTGGAACTCCCACAAAGGATTTTTGTTCACAGTGGTGTTATAGTCCCTTACTTGGGGCCTTGATACGCTCACTGCTCTGGATTCTGCACACTTGCTTGGTTCCTCTCAAACTCCACAAAGCTGCTTTATCACAGATATATCCTCATACACCTCAAACACTCATACACATAAAATAGTATGAAAGTAAAGCATCAGCTACTCTTAGTAGGATTCAAATTAAAACTAGTGAATTGGTTAAAAATATGAAATGGGTAATAACTTTCAAAATAAAATTTTAGTCAGTTAAAATTTTTGTTTTAACTGTTTTCTGTTCAAGCATGAAAACCTGTGGTGAACTCCAAGAACTTACATAAAAATGTTAGGCATGGTGCTGCACACTACCAGTTCCAGGACTGGAGAGGTAAAAACAGGCGGATACTGACTCACAGGGCAGCCAGTGAGTCAAAGCAGTGAGTTTCAGGCCAGTGAGTGACCCTTTCTCAGAAAAGAAAATGACTAGCTCCTAAGGAACAATAACAAAGTTGTCCTCTGGCATGCACATGCACAGTATACATTGGAAACACAAACACATTAAAAACTTATTAACATCAGAGAAAATTTAATATGATTCATCTTTGGCACTGAGTTAGAAAATCATTTTGAAACCTTCAAAGCAGATGATTTTCATCCCTGAAAGAATCAACCAAGTTTTTTAAAAAGAAACTGAGAATAACAAAGGACTTTAGTAGGTACAAGAAATTATTTTCAATTAACTAGGTACACTGAGCATTTAAAGGATCTGGTAATCTTTTTAAAAATTAATTATCTGGGCTGGAGAGATGGCTCAGTGGTTAAGAGCACTGGCTACTATTACCCACAGGACCTAAATTTGATTCCCAGCACCCACATGGTGACTTACAATCCTCTGTAAAGCCAATCCCAGGGGATCTGACAGTCTCTGTCACTAGGGTGGTACACAAACATACATGCAAGCAAAACACCCATACACATAAAATAGTACATAAAATAAATAGTAAAATTAAAAATCAGTTATTTCTAACCAAGTTCCAGAACTTAAAGAAATCATAATTATCATAAATATTGACATATAGCCAAGAAATCAGTAATAAGATATAAGCACCATGTGAACAACTCCACAAATATTTAAAAATACATGAGTGGAGTTTGAGAGCTAAATCAGGTAATAAGCAGGAAACCGCATTTCCCAAGGGAGCAGACCAGAATTAAACAGTTAATTTTCAAGCATGCCATGTATATGTGTATAAGAGACAGGAAGACTACATAGATAACTGGCAATGCCTTCTTCATACTGCTCTCAACCGTTCCCTTACATTTGGACAGACTGCTATTAGATGAAAGCCTAATACCATGCTTCATGAATGACAGCATCCATGAAGAACAGACTAGCAGGAATGGTATGTCCTAATGTTGTAGAAAGTTAAGGCCTACCAGGTCAAAAGGAACCAATATGGGTGGGGAGGGGGTCCTGCCTGGAACTGTCAGAGGTTCTGATCATGCCTAGCTGATGGAGGAGGGTTATCTGTCTATTGTGTTATTTTCATTGGTCAATAAAGAGACTGCCTTGGCCCCTTGATAGGACAGAAAATTAGGTAGGCGGAGTAAACAGAACAGAATGCTGGGAAGAGAGCAATGAGGCAGATGCCATGGAGCCAGCCACCAGGTCAGACATGCTGAATCTTTCCCGGTAAGCCACCACCTCGTGGTGCTACAGATTATTAGAAATGGGTTAATATCAAGATATGAGAGTTAGTCAGTAACTAACTCTCTAGAGATAATGGGCCAGGCAGTGCTTAAATGAATACAATTTGTGTGTTGTTATTTCTGGGACTAAGCTAGCCGTGCAGGAGCTGGGTGAGGCGAAAAGCAGGCCTGCCCGCAGCCCCTCACTACACCTAGCCAATGAGAGACAAGCATGAAATGTCAACTGTCAATGAATCAGAACACCTGGGTGCTGGGAAGGTTATAAGTTTTTCCCCATTGTTAAATAAATGAGTCTGCTGTAAGTCTTCCACCTGACTCCCAGAGTCTGTGTTCGAAATTGGGCCTTTTCATCACCTCCCCCAAGGAAGACATTAGGGTCCAGCCACATACTGTAAAGGTAAAACTGTAGCTACATACACAACACATTAGGACACAAGAAATTGCATTCTCACTCAATGCTGAAATCTTTCTATTATAGAATTTTCCTTGACATCTTGCCGTAACAGAACTCACAGCCACCTGTAAATGAGATCTGGTGCCCTCTTCTGGCCTGTCAGCAGACATACAGGCAGAACATTGTATACATAATAAATAAGATCTGGTGCCCTCTTCTGGTCTGCCAGCAGACATACAGGCAGAACATTGTATACATAATAAATAAATCTTTAAAAAAAAATTCAAATGGTGGTGGCTGTAGCTCAGCAGTAAAGGATTTGCTAAAGCCCTGGGTTACAGCCAGAGCACCATAATAATCTCAGCACTTGGGAGGTTAAGCAGGAAGCCCTAGAGTTTCCAGAAGGATATGTCACAAGGCTCTTTCTGAGAATAAATATGGAGAATAAGCACTTTTAGAATTGGTACTCACAGAGAGTACAAAAAAAAAAAAAATCAGACCTCTACTGCTGTCTTCTGTTTATAGAACTTTCTTCACAGAAAAGGAGGTAAGCATTCATCTATCTACCCTTGGATCAAAATAGTCGGTACTTATGTGTCCTGTAAGTTAATGGACAAAAAAAAAGGAGTTGCTTTCTCCTTAACGGCAACCTTCAATCACTTGGTCACAGTTGTCTCCTCCCACCAAGGTTATCCTAGTTAGGGCTGCTATTGTTGCTGTGAGGAGACACTATGACCACGGCAACTCTTATAAAGGAAAACATAATTGGGGTGGCTTACAGGTTCAGAGGTTTAATTTATTATCATCATAACAGGACATGGCAGCCTGCAGGAAGACATGGTGTTGAAGGAGCTGAGACTACATCTTACAGGCAACAAGAAGTGAACTGAGATGCTGGGTGTGGCTTGAGCTTATGTGAAACCTCAAAACCCACCTTCACAGAGACACACTTCCTCCAACAAGGCCATCCTACTCCAACAAAGCCACACCTCCCAATAGTGTCATTCCCTTTGGGAGACATTTTCTTTCAAACCACTACATTCCACCTTCCTGGTCCCCAAAGGCTTGTAGCAAATGCAAAAATGCATTCAGTATAACTTCAAAAATCTTCATAGTCTGCAACAGTCTCAAACTTATTTAGAAGTCTAAAGTTCAAAGTCTCTTCTGAGATTCATACAATCAATCTCTAACTGTAATCCCCTGTAAAATTAAAATCAAAAAGCAGATCACATACTTCCAACATATAATGGCACATGATATACATCACTATTCTAAAACATAGGGAAGAGAGCATGAGAAAATACTGAACCAAAAACCAACTTGGCAAACTCCAAACTCTGCATCTCCACATCCAATGTCAAAGCACTCTTCAGATCTCCAATTCCTTTCAACTTTGTTGACTATAACACATTTCTTTCTCTTGGACTGGTTCCACTCCCTGTGAGCAGCTTTCCTCAGCAGGAATCCCATGACTTTGGCATCTCGAACATCTTGGGGTGTCCAAGGCAATCCAGGCTTTAACTACACAGCTTCACATGATGGCCTTTCTGGACCTCCATTCATCAACACCCCTAACATATACCTGGCCTCAGCAGCTTTCCTTAGGCACAGAGGCAAATTCCATAACCCCTTTCTTCTATCCTTGACTCTAAAGCCAGAACATGGCCAAAGATGCCAAGTTCTGCTGCTTGCTGGGGTCTAGAACATGGCCCTGTTGTTCAAAAACATCTTCATCAGCTTTCTCTTTTCAGTGGTTTCCTTCACTGCCTAAGGCTGGCTGTCCTGGAACTTGCTCTGTAGACCATGATGGCCCTGAACTCAGAAATCTTTCAATTACGTCTTCACCAGCTTTCTGTTTTTCAATGGCTACCTTCTCTGCCTAAGCTTGGTTATTCTGGTATTTGCCCTGTAGACCAGGCCAGCCTCTGAGTGCTGGGATTAAAGGCATGTGTTACCACATTGTGCTCTAAACTTTTCTTTAATTACATTTCTCAAATTGAAAATTGTAGCTGAGTGAGATATGTCCTGAGGTCAACACTCCCTTTATTCCATTTCCTAATCTGTTCACCTCCTTAGAACACATGACTTAGCTCCATTCCCTTTCCTGGTCGCTCCTTTTCAGATTTCACATTTTTAGTTTATCCTGCTCAGTTTGTTCCTTTTCATTATAAATCTTCATTAGAGTTACCACCAATAACCACATAACAGAGTCTATACTAGGCTGTTTTGAGATCTCATCTGTCAATAGAATTAATCAAAATCTCTTCACTTTAGCCTCAGGTAGACTCTTCGGACAAGGGCAAAAAGCAGTCATATTCACCAAAATATCACAAGATAAGTGAGTCTTCTCTAGGCCACATGAAATCTCCTCTGAAACCTTTTGAGCCAGGCACCTACTGTTCAAATCACACTCAGCACCACTGTCTTCAATGTCCCTAATAGGATGATCCATTAAGAAGCACTTAAAGAATTCAACTGCTTTTCTAATCCAGTCCCAAGGTCCACATTTCTTCAAACAAAAGCCATGGTCAGGCCTATCACAGCAATACCCCAGTTCCTAGTACCAACTTACATCTTAGTCAGGGTTTCTATTGCTATAAAAAGACACCATGACCATGGCAACTCTTATAAAGAAAAACATTTAATTTGGTGGTTTACAGACCAGAAGTTCAGTCCATTATCAACATGGTGGGACATGGCAATATGTAAGTAGACATGGTACTGGAGAGTTGTACATCTGGTAAGCAACAGAAAGTGAACTGAGATACTGAGCATGGTTTGAGCATATGAGACCTCAAAGCCCACCCCCAAAAGGACACTTCTTCCAACAAAGCCATACCTATTCCAACAAAGCCACACCTCCTAATAGTGCTATTTCCTGAGCTTTTTGGGCCCACTTAGGTTCAAACTACCACAAAGGTCAACACGTTTCTCTAAAGAGAAGCATACAATTGACTTTAATGGTAAATAACACAGCACTAGCATCCCGGCTTGCACATTAGCTTGTTTTGAAAAGAATAAGCCCAACTGGGTCCTAGTCTGCTTCTCTACAAAACTCCATAAAACCACCTTTATTGTTAAATTCCTTGATTTGAAAGGTACTTTTAGTTTATCTTTGGTAGAAAGCTAAGAAAGTCATTCTCCACTAAGAACAGCAGTAAGATCTATGTTGAAGAAATGACTCAATTTCTTCATCTTAATTGTTTTGTTCTCAAAGCTGAGGATAACAATAGCTTAGAATGACTCTATACAAACCTAGACATATCTGTGAAAAAGGAATCTAGTTGAGAAATTGCCTCCATCAGATTGCCTCCATCAGAGTCTGTGAGGCATTTTCAAAATCAATGATTGATAGGAAGGGCTGAGCCCACTGTGGGTGATGCCACCTATAGACAAGTGGTCCTGGTTGTATTTAAAAAAAAAAAAAATGCTGGGAAAAAAAGAAAGAAGAAAGAAAGAAAAAGAAAGAAAGAAAGGAAGAAGGAAGGAAGGAAGGAAGGAAGGAAGGAAGGAAGGAAGGCAGGCAGGCAGGCAGGCAGGCAGGCAAGCAAGCAAGCAAGCAGGCAGAGAAAGCCCAGGGGAACAAGCCAGTAAACAGTGTTCTTCCATGGCTTCCTCTTCAGTTCCTGTGAGTTCCTGCCTTAGCTTCTCTCAATGGACTGTGAACAAGATATGTAAGCCAAATAAACTCTCTCCTCCCTAAGTTGTTTTTGGTCATGATCTTTATCTCTGAAATGAAAAGCAACTAAGACATAGAGATATTTATTTTATTTGTCAGGAAACACTGAGTACCCAGTGATGAGGGAACACCAAATATAGTATGAAGTTTTCCCAAGAACAACTGTGTTATGGAAGACACATACCCATTAGAATGGGAGTGATCTCCTTTCAGCCTTCTATGAATAGTGGGGTATGCTAAAAAGCATATAAAATATAGCTAAGCCAACCAACCATTGTGAAGACCTAGAACCAACTAATTCTTCTGAGTATAGCTCCACAGAGATCCTCAACTAAAACGTTAGTTAGGAGCAAGGCTAATAAATGTGCATGTTTGAGCACACGTTGAGTTTTTAGAATTTTAAGCTATTATCTCTGGTTAAAGACAAAGAGGCACCAGGTGGTGGTGGAACATGCTTTTAATCCCAGCATTTGGGAGGCAGAGATAGGCAGATCTCTGTGAGCTTGAGGTCAGCCTGGTCTACAAGAGTTAATTCAGGACAGCTAGGGCTGTTACACTGAGAAACCATCTGGGGGGAGGGGGGAACAAAGAGGCACTGGGAGAGAAAGTTTGTGGTTAAGAGCACTGGCTGCCCTTCTAGAGGATCTAGGTTTGATTCCCAGACCCAGGGACTCAGACATCTCCTGGCCACCATGGGCACCAGGCACGGACACAGTGCACAGACATACATGCAGGTAAAACACCCATACACATGAAATAACAAGATATTAATAAAACACAGACATTACCTAGCAATGGAGAACACAAGAGATTTAGCTTTGGTTTCATGACTGGACGCTCTGACTGAGTCAATTCACTTTTCTCCAGAGAGGGGAAGTCTATTACTTTCATTCCTTCTATTCTCACGTCAATCTCAGCCTGGGGTGTATCCAAGGTTTGGGAAGAGTCCCTTTCTTGAGGAAGATGATGCCAAGATTCTGCTCTCTGAAACAATTTTAAAGGAAAAGATGCTGGGTCATTAACTGAGTCACACATTTACACTTAGACTACTGACTACTAAGCATATTTAACAACACTCTCACAGAGTGGTCAAAAGAAAGTTGTTCCTTCTATGTGACTTCTTACTACACTAACCTCCTTCTAGACCTCTTTCAATCACTACCGGCTCCTAGCACCATGTAGTCACTGACACCTGTGTTATAGTGTAGGCTCTCACTGTTAAATCAATCATTTGATACTACACGACAAATCCATACTGTGTTCATTTAAAAAAAAAAAAAAACAAGCCAAGAAAAAAAAAAAAACCTGAACAATTATTTCTAAATCTAAAGCTACAGCATTCATTCCCTGGGAAAAATGGAACAGATACTTTAGAAGATAACATATTCTTGTAAAGTTAAATATATCATTTTAATATAATTTAGTTGATCTATTCCTAGGTATTTACTCAACAGAAATGAAGTTGCGTTTACTCAAAAACAATGAAAATTTATTTAAAGAGATGATACATGCAAATGGGCTAATTTCAGAAGAATAGAAATCAGATTTTTAAAATCCACACACTGTAATTCTAAAAAGGCAAAACAGAACTATCAACTATAGGATGCTTGATTTAAGATAAGGGACTGGAGAAAGTAATTATTAAAATAGTATTCAGAAACTTTTGTCCATAAGAGAAAAAAGCATAGTGATATTTACATAACTATATATTTCAAAGATTATCTGACAAACTGTATAACTAAAACAGTTCACTTTTCTATATTTTATAACTGCTATCTTTCAAATTTCATCTGTCAAATGTATAACTAAAACAGTTTACCTTTCTATATTTTATTTAAACTTAGCTGTATAAAAATGGAACTAGACAGCTGGGCAGCAGCAACACATAACTTTAATCCCAGCCCTCAGGAGGCAGAGGCAGGAGGATCTATCTCTATGAATCTGAGGCCAGTCTGATCTACAGAGCAAGTTCCAGGACAGAGAAATCTTATCTCAAAAAAAGAAAGAAAGAAAGAAAGAAAGGAAGGAAGGAAGGAAGGAAGGAAGGAAGGAAGGAAGGAAGAAAGAAAGAAAGAGAGAGAGAGAAAGAAAAAAGAAAAACAAAAGCAAAAACAAAAACAAAAAAACTTTTCTTTAAAATTTTCTATTTATACTCAGGTAATGGTTTTGCAATTTTGAATGTTTTAATTTCTTGTATGCCAAATATCCCATGAGATAATATACGTACACACAAAAATATATACTTTTGAAAAATACAGATTATTGAGACAAAGAAGCAGGGATGAGCTTCCCAGTCTACATAAAATTATTGTGTCCTATGAGAATAGTAATCCACATCTTCACATTCCTCATATTACAGCATTTCTGTGCTGCTCGTAGAAAGAAAAAGAATTTGCCCCAGACACACCTGTTCCTCCCCAGGACCCCACTGGACTGTTGTTTCCAATGACACTACACCAGAGTTGGAAAGCTGTGCTCTAGAATTGTCTTGATACGATGACTGCTGCCACCCATGGCACGTCAGTGAAACAACCTGAAAATCAAAGCACACTAAAGCTGAGTAATGCTGGGACTGTACAATAACAAAAGTAACCATGCTAGAATACACTTTTTGCTCTATAAAATGCTTTCATGTTACAAAATGTTATTCTTTAAGCATAACAGCATGACCATCTTCACCAGAAGCAGCTATAACTACCCATGAGAAACTCTCAAGACTGGGCCTGTTGACCTTCCCTCATAGGAGGATGTAGGGTATAGGCCCCTGTCTTCCCTTGCTCCCTGGGATGCAAATCAAGGACTGTTTTGGCTAACCAGCTAAGCTTCCTGCTAAATTCTGTGCTCTGCTCTGCTAGCCTGGTGAATTAGCCGTAGGGCCTTGTATTACTTTGGAATGGTAATTTCCCAACCTGCCCGGGAGAGCCCACGGCACCAAGGTCCCTCTCACCTGTCTGCCACTGCCTGACACCTCCCGCCCACGTGCCTGCGGAAAAGTTGTCACAACCCCTCTGGCTGGGAGGGGTTTCCGTTACTGGGGGAAAAAGTATATTAACTCTGGATAAAGCTAAATAAATTGGCATTCACCTCTTGGCGAATGACCCGGACTCTCTCTCTCTGTGTGTGTGTGTGTGTGTGTGTGTGTGTGTGTGTGTGTGTGTGTGTGTGT